AAGTTGGTTCCAGATCCTAGCCGCCCTGACACTGAAGTAGCGCCTCCTGATGTCTAATCTGAATCTACCCTCTGCCAGCTTGTGACCGTTATTTCTAGTCACTCCTGGTAGTGCTTGGGGGGACAGGGACTCCCCCAATGCCTGCTGGTCCCCTCTGCAAGTCTTTGAGCCTTATAAATTAAGGTAATAACTAATCTGACTGAGAATGGTGGCAAACATACATCAGAACACAGTGAAAAAAAGAGCAGGGATTGCAGGGGGAAGGTAGAGGAGCAAAAATGTACAGTGATATGGAGGGAAGGCAGCACTGGCAGGAAAACAGAGGTCAACAAAGACTGGAGAGGGAGTCAAGCCCAACAGATAGTAGATGTACCAGGAAGTAATGGTATGAATTCTTGGATCCAGGGGGAATGTAACTTGGTTGGAAATATCACGTGTATCTACAGCTATTCCTAACAGACGGCACAAAGGAAAGATAATGCAACATTCTTGGTTTTGTAGCATTCCAAGAAGTATGACATTCCTAATACTAATTGGGATAAGTATAAATAGATATATCAACTGAAATTTCTCCACCAGCTGATCTTTATCGGACCTTAATTTGAATAATACATCAAAAATTAATTTAAAAATTTTCTCTCCCAACTTAATCACTTAAATATTTTAGCATAAGACATATCAACTAGTTAGCTGCTCTCTTGGAATATGTTGTAATTAAATATTTCTGTAAGTAAAAGATAATATTTAACAATATATATGACACATTCTATGGAAATAAAACAGTTACATTTATGAACAAATAAAATCTGAGGGACATTCCAAAATTTAATCAAATAACAGTTTTAAGAACAGAAAAACACCCCCTAACCTATGATATCTGAAAAACAAAAATTACTAATGAAAAATAGCAAACTTTGCCTTGCTGTTTTTATTCCTTTCTTTGTATTGTGTTCCATATCTTGGCCCTGGTACTACAAAGGTACTGGAAAATGAACTAGAGACAAACAAAGCATCTTGTATACAAAATAAACAATCCAAGGATCATTAGCTCAAAGTAACCTTCTGGGTCATTATGTCCCATGTCCCACTACTCCAACCACATCATATCATCCCTCTCACATCAGTTTATTAAACTGCATCTTAGAACCAATTTGGTTTTCCTCCCTACTCCTCCTATTGGATGGTGGGTTCTAGACTGTCACTCCTCCGCTGGGTAGGAATCTCCTCTTAAATTATGGCCTAAAAATCTGCTCATCACCTGTTTACATCTATATACTCTCTTGCCACCTTAAATACCTCTTTTTACTCCCCAATATTTAATTATCTGATGTATTTGTAAAGAGCAATCCTACTCCCCTTCTCAGCCTTCATTTTGCTATGCTGAACAATACTGGCTCTTTGTGCTACTACATTTCATCCCATTTTTCATCCCATTTTTATTACTCCAACACTGACATTCTAATCTTCTTTGTGCCATCAGAGAATTTCATTAGCACACTCCTACGTTTTCGCATCAGCATCACAAATGAAAATATAAAATAAGCCTGGTCCCAGGCAAGGTTCCCTCTAATGTGAGCGTATGCATGGCCACGCACAACAAAAAGTGTGGCTGCACGCAGCCTTTTTAAGGCTGCACACCAGGAGAGGCTGGGGCAGGAGCCTGGTGCAGGCTCCGTCAGCTCCGGGGAAGTGCTCTGCTCCCCCGCATCAGGGCCAGGGAGTGGAGCACTTGCCCAGAGGCAGTGGAGCCCACACCAGCCCCCCGCCCCAGCCTCCATCCCTGCCTTGCCACACTGTGGGGAGGAGCTACTGCCTGGCCAAGTGGGGCTCTGCCAGCTCTGGGACACTGCTGTGCTCCCCGGCATGGCCTCAGGGGGCATGTCTCGCAGCCTCCCGGAGCTGGCGGAGCCTCACTCGAGGCAGGCAGCAGCTCCTCCCTGAGGTGAGGCGAGGCAGGGATGGAGGCTGAGACAGGGGGCTGGTGCAGGCTCCGCCAGCTCCAGGGAAGTGCTCCACT